CTTCTTCATATTTCAACATCTTCTGCCTTGTTTAAAAACTACATTTACACACACAGGGCTTAGGCAACTCTCACCAGTACAAGTTCTTTGGCTGCTATGTTAAGAATTCTATTGTGGGAAACAATTTGAAACTCAGCTTTTTATGTGCAAGTTTCAAGATGTGTTCAACAACATAAAGTATTTCCAATAAGATATGTTATAGCAAGCAGACATGGAAGGCAAGGTCCGGAGGGGGAGAAGTTCAACCAAAAAAGTTCGAGTAAGGTTTTGTGTAGAGTCATTTAGAACCTTTTACTTAAGCTCAAAGCTTAGATTATCTTGTTTATTTTATTCTTCATTAAAGTGCACCTCTGCCTTAAACTAAAAGTTAAGTGCCAAAATTCTAGGCATGTCTCTTCTCAAAGTGCTTCCAGAAAGATGGGAAACAGGAAGTATGGAAAATCCTGTGAGAAATTCTGGTTTTGAATTTCTAGCTCAATTGGTATAGATTTAGTGCACAGATTGTTGCTCGATAGAATCTTAATTGTAAAAGAAGTATCTTAATGAGAGCTTTATTTAATTGAGGTTTCCCCAATACTTGGCAATGTGTCATTTTCTCATTTTTCCTATTAGAACATATTAATGTACTGTCAAAAAAAACCCCACAGAAACAAAACAAAAAATTAGTGCACAGGGAGTGGTGTCAGTATCCCATTATTTTTTTGTTAAAATATTTTGTTGATACTTTTTATTGTTATTATAAAGGTGATGTACAGAGGGGTTACAGTGACCTAAATCAGGTTGAGTAAATTTCTTTTTTCACAATGTCACCCCTTCCTTTGCTCTCTCCCAGTTCCCCCCCACCCCACCCACAAGTTGTAGTTAATTTTCCACATAGTGTCTACAGAGTATCAGCATCCAGTTTTGTGCTCTGAAATTGAACCCAAGTTATAGTTGTTAAAAGCTGCAATCAAAGAGTCAAAGAGACTGACTACTTTGCATATCTAAAGATTCTGGACATATAATGTCCTCATTATCAACTCCTGTATCCAAAGGTCTCTGTGCCTACCTGAGGTGGTTTATACCAAACATTTTTGATTAAGTGAATAATAGAAAATCAATTTTAAAAAATCTTTAAAAACAAAATTTTCAAGATAGTATTTTCAAGATAGTAAATAAGAAAATTAAATTCAATGGTAAATATACTGCCAAGGAATAGCAATGATTAAGAAAATCCAAAAATCTTTTTAACAAGCAAATTTTGCTTTTGTGCATAAGAAAAGTTGATAGGTCACAGATTGTTAATGACAAATGTAACCAGATAGAGAGCAACAAATATTAATGAACCGCTATGGTGATATGTTAATTTCTGGTATAATATAAACATGTAGAACTCAGTAAATGTTACACTAGACTAAATCAAGGAGAGTATTATGTAGTGCTCATTTTCATAGTAGTAGGAAGACATGGGTAGATTTATAGTCTAATAAGTTAGAACACATGGCTTTGTAAACCTGGTCCTGACACAGTATCTACATGATTTAGGAAAAGAAATTGAGATTATTATATGTGTACCAGGACTTGAATATTTATGTAGTCTTTATCACTATATTGGTTTAAAATCAAAGGAGAAGAGGGTTTCCCTTAGATACTACACAATTCTCATTGTATATTACAGGGGTGTGATAATAATTAGAGATAGTATGTAGACTTTTTGGCAAGTAAATTTTGGATTCACATCATTTGGAAGAAACAAAGAGGAAATGCTGACTTCCAAAGTAGATAATAACTAATTGATAAGAAGGATAAAGAGAACAGAGCAGTCTTTTGGAATCCAAACAAGAAGAAAAGATGAAACAGGGGAATGAGCTCTGTTGAAGGAGATTTTTAAAAAGGTCAAGAAGACGTGGTTTCCCTAAGGACGCCTAAACAAGCATCATTAATATAAAAATAATAAATACATGTAGTAGCAAAGGACTAGCGTACAAGGGTTACTAAGAAAGCTCTGAGTGAAGAAATGATATGGGAAATGACTAGAAGAGATCACTTCCTGGTAAGATCACGTCCTACCATTTAGGAAAGCACATGCAAGCCATGGACCATTTTTTCCAATGGCTTATAGTTGTCATCATAGCCAAAGGAACACTGTGACTTCTTTCTTTCATGAAAATTACTTCTGCAATCACATTAGTTTCTTTCAAGATGGCACACTGTGCTTATATCTTAATACTTGTATTCATGATGCATTCAAGGTTAGTTAGAGGTTTAAGAATTTGATGTTCCAACATGTCAATTCCTTTTGTAAAGAAAATTGGTCTTTTTGTTTTTCAACAAGACATTATCCAGCATTATTTCCTTGGCACTAGAACTTACTGATTCACTTTCCATTTTCAGCTATTTCCAAATCATTATGAAAAATTAACAACTTCATTGTCATCTAAGGTGGCAGCTATCTTATTCACACATCCTCTTTTTGTACAGGCATATATTAAAAGCAGAAAATAGAAGAATAATGATCCAAAAATTTGAAAATATATCTAAAAGAGAAGTATTTTATAGCTTATTTGCTTTTTAATTTGGGGTTTCCCCTCTAAAAATCTGTCCTTAGAATAAGAATAGTGGTATTATATATTTTATGTAACTATTTAGCACTTAGCCACTACTAATTAGAAGTTATAACTAAAACTTGATATTGCCTACTAATTAGGAAAAGTGGAGGGTCAGCTCTCATCTCATTTCACATACAGAAAAATGTTATATTATTCTATAACTTCAAAACTTTTAACCAAACATGACCATGAGTTTCATAGTTAATCTAAGGTTTCCTTACACTAGATCTTCTGTAAAGATAAAATATATTTTTCCTACAAGTCAGTGGCTCTATGGGAATCCTGAATCTGATCACAATTCTAAGAATAGGAACAATAGTAATTAAAAAAGAAGCTAAGACTGAGCCAAGGCATCAGTTGTGGTTAATTCTCAGGTTGAACACCTGAGAATCAACAGGTGCAGAGACAACATTCTTTCTTCAATAAATGGTATAACTAGGGAAGTCTTTCTTTCTTCCTTTTCTCCTTCCTTTCTCTTTCCTTCCCTTTCTTTCTCTTTCCTCTATCCCTCCCCTCCCCTCTCTACCCGTCTTCCCTCCCTTCTCTCCTTTTCTGTCTTTCTATATCTCTGTGTCTTTCTGTCTGCCCCGCCTCTCTCTTTCAACATGAACTTCTCCAGCAGTAACCAGTTATTGGCCCAGAAGGAAATACTAACATAATGAATCACACTAGTCCCTTAGAGATTCCTTCATCCTATTCTGATTTCCTTGTCATTTTTTTTTCTCTTTAAAAAGCAATCTTTAAAAAAAATTGTAAGTGACCACCACATGTTTCTCAAATCACTATACTAAGGTCTATCCAAAACTGGTTTTTTATCTGGTCAGTTCAGATGGGGTTTATTTCTACTAGGTTTCCAGTAGAAAGAAGAAAACTCAGAAGAGACATATGGCCTTTTGTACCTTACAAAAGACATAGCACTTCCCCTAATGGGTGTCAAAGTGAAATTTTCCTATTGGAATCTGAGTACACTACCAATAGCATTTTACATTACTAGCATCATCTTATATACAGGCTTGGCTTCACAGCCAACTTTTCTCTCATACTCTGGTCCACACTTTCTTTTGGCTAACAGCTTATTAGCAAAAAGCTAGGATATCAATGAGTAATTTTTGCTACATTTCTTCATCTGTATAAAAAATAATCACACATTACAGCTTGTCCCATAGTGCATGTTGTTGGAAAGTTTAACTCTTCAAACACACTGTACTGTATAATTCAAATATTAAATTTAAAACACTCCCTAGTGTCTCCTTTTTTGAAGACTTATAGAAATGATTCAGCTCTATATTTCTCCAAGGTAAATTAAGTGCCCATTCTTGTATATTGCATTTAAATAACACCTTGTAAACCAAGTCAGGACTGAACCTTCTGAAAAATGAACTAAGAAAATGGAATAAGCCTTTTCCCTGAGGAATACTAGCATATTAGACACTCTATAAAGTGTAAATGCTTTTTATTTCAGGCCCTTTGCTAGAATCTGAGAGTGCTTCTGCACTCTCTATCACTTCTCAAGTGCAATATGCAAAGGGAGTATTATTTAAAGAGCTCCAAGAGAAGGAAGGTTCTTAAGATTGCATCACTCTGAGCAAAGCATATCAAGTCCACTTTAAAAGAACATGACACAATCTTCCTTTCCTGAAACAGTGACATAATGATTTCACAATGTGTGGTTCTGGGAAACCTCATCCAGAAGTTCTTCTTGAGAAATAAAGTAAGCTGGTGCTTGTGGTATAGGACTAGATATCAGAATTCCTAAGAAATTGGATCTTTCAATTAGTTTACTTCCATTTCCTGTAGTTTCTTCTATGTCATTTCTCTCTTTCTGCATACTGTGAAATTTTGTCAATATGAATGCTTTGAGAATACCACGTGAAAACATTAAACATTAAGACATTATGGATAACTTCAAATTTGTTCATGTGTTTCTCTGCCCTGCCTTGTTTCTCATTAGACCCATTTCCTTACTGAAACTTATGCTGTGATTTCGCCAGATTATATTTGTCTGAGTCTAAATTAGCTACCCTAGTATAATCCACACCCCAGGCAGTACATTGAGCAAATATGATTTGTCAATAACCAGCTTAATAGTTCTTTTGAAATCAGCATATATTCATTTGACAAAGGAGTTCCATTTTGGTATTTCCATGTACACATAGAATGTTCTTTGATAAAATTCACCCCTTTATTATTTTTTCTTCATGTGATGTGCTTTATATATATAACTCTAAGTTTAAAACTAAGGAGATTCATCTGTATCACTTAAAATATTTTCATAATGAAAGATCTAAATTAAAATTTGGATCTCAAACACAGGTTCAAGTACAATATATAATTCTATAAAATACTAGTAGAATGTATAATTGCTAGTAGACTCTCACATCTAAGATAATTCTTATTTTCACTTTCTCATAGTTTATTAGAACATAAAATCTTAGAAATGGAAGGAAAGCACAAGGAAGAGTTGGATACCTTAAAGGAAGAAAAAGAGAACCTTCAAGGCTTAGTTACTCGTCAAACATATATAATCCAGGAACTGGAGAAGCAGCTCAACAGAGCCACCACTAACAACAGTGCTCTTCAGAAACAGCAGCTGGAACTAATGGACACAGTCCACAACCTTGTCAACCTTTGCACTAAAGAAGGTGGTAAGAATTTCTTCCTGATTTTAGTTTCATATCTATTGTAATGGCAAGTAGAGATTCAATACTACTCTGTTACATTGATTGCTGTGTTAACACGGCAAGTAGACTTTAAATTTAAAAGCATTTATTAGGTTTTGTTGACAATTTTCTTATTTCAGAAAATGTATTCCTAAATTTTAACTTGTAAATCCACAGTATGTATTTCTCAAAAGGAACTTTCTAATTACATATTTTGTTCTTGGTCTCTTTAACCTTAAGTCTCAAGTCCATTGTAATGCAATGGATAAACATTTGATACTGTGATATTAGACACTCTACTATATAGAACACAATTTAGGTCATGTTAAAGACAACTTCAGGGTTATGAGAAGAGTTTCAGAACAGTGACTATTTTATAACTAATATTATTTCATTTTTTTCAGAAGGGAAGAGTACAGTTCACAATAATCACTATGCATAAGAAATGACAAGTGTTATTAAAAGAGCATTTTTTTTTCTATTACTAGGGTTTGAATTCATGACCTGGGTGCTGTCCCTGAGTTTTTTTATTCAAAGCTAGTGTTCTATCTCTTGATCTATTGCTCTACTTCTGGCTTTTCTGGTGGCTAATTGGAGATAAGAGTCTCATGGACTTTCCTGTTTGGGCTGGCTTTGAACTGCATCCTCAGATCTCAGATTCTAAGTAGCTAGGATTGCAGGCATGAACCACAAAGAACCTGGCTAAGAATTTTTAAGACCCTTTGTACCTAACCTCGTGCAAAGATTTACCAAGGTATCTAGGCATGTTTATTTTGAAATATCTTTATGGTGGTATTAATTACAAATCGTTAAATGTCACTAAAATGTCTGGATCCATATAACCATTGGAAGATATCTTCCGAAGTATACCTCTTTAGAAGACACAGCATCCACCTAAGAATTATTGAATGAGTTCACGTGTCCATTGCAATCAGAATCTCTCTGAGACCCAGTTCAGGTGAGCTGCAGGTCATCTTGTATAGCTCTCCTCTCTAATCAGCCCTCTTTTGAGTGCCCATGGAATTACAAGTGATGGTGAGTGAAGGAGAATAACACATCTGGAAGTGAGTGAGGCCAGTCGCTTAATGGTTGAGTCTGTGTATGTTTGCAATGCACAGTGGTGGAGCCTCCTTTGACTTAAAATTAGGCTTGAGCTGCATGAAGAACTACTAACTCAATTGCATACTTTTATGTAGAGATAGGAATATACAAGATAAGTCTGTATTAAATGATCTTGTTTTAAAGACATTTCACATTTCTCTGCTACAGCCCATTACTTTGGAGATATAAATTTATATCTCCTTTAGATAGTCTAAACAAGCCTTTAATATACTTTGTAAAGCGACATCTTTTAAACAGTGAGCTCTGAGATTTCCATTTGGGTGTGCTCAGTAATGTGATTGGGAAGGAAAAAACCTGCTGATCACACAGAGCCTGCCAAAACCCCGCGATAGAGTCCACGGGAAGGAAAGCATGGTGGGATTTTGCCAGAGAATTTTAATAGAGCTCATGAGTATTTATAAATTAAGTATTAATATGAGACATATCTATTCTCATATTGAGATGAATACATTTTGGGAAAAATTGAAAACACATTTTTCTTATCATCCTGAGACTTAAGCACATGGAGTTGGGTAGTGTTTTGTTCATGATTTCAGAGACATCAAGCTCTGGTGATTCTCACAGAGCTCATATGTCTGCTCGCTTATCACAATTTAACTTAGTTCCTGAGTATTTGTCTAATAAATATGCCTTTAAGCTTTTGGAGGCCGCGAGTGTGACTTTAAAATTTCTGCCTTGGTTTGGAGTTTGGGTCAGACACCAGACAACTAAACATCTGTTCAAGAGATTTCAGTGAACAATGATGATGGCAATCATGATAGATGCTTCCCTTCCCATTCACTTAGGGTGTGAGAAAAGCAACCGGGTCTATTCTGTGACAGAGCACATCCCCAAAACACTACCAATAATAACAGAGATTGAAATTGTCTAATGATACAAGTCTCTAGATAGCTATTGCCCTTTAATGATTCAGTCCTAAAACAAATCCTGCTCTAAGTGCAGGATTTGTGCAATTGCCTGGTTTTCTAGTGGAATTTCTTTTTGTTCTCATAGCTATAGATTCCATTTGCTTCTAGTTAATCTTTATTTTTCTTGAACCTCTATTAAATATTCTACTGAAATAATTAGTTATTTTAGGATTCACATGAGACATGAAAAAGGAAAGTAGCTCTCAAAAACAGTTGCTTTTGTTAATTCTCTTAATGTTAATTCTTCTGTTAATTCTCTTAATTATCTTAATGTTCACCACAGCCATAGTCTTCAATTATTTTGAATTTTTAATATTAAAGGCTAATGGCATAATATTGAGTTAAATATCAGTTATTCACATGAACTTTGATTTTCATTCTAATTCTAAAATACACAGTAAGATTTTTGTCTACTTGAAGAACAAAATTTATCACACAACTTTATTATTTATTAAATAATATATACTAATGTTTTACTTTTAAAGTTGTACATATGTAAATATTCTAAAATAAATATGTCATAATAAATGCATTGAGTTTTCTAAAATGTATATTTGAAAATTTTAAATAGGGTTCTTCTGATCCTCCAAAAAATACCACACCTTGTATCATAATCCAACATACCAAAACTTTTAATTGACCCTAAAGGATTTTTGGCTTCAAGTTGACCCAATCATTTATCCCAATAGTCTGAATATAGTATTATACAACATAAAATGATAGATTTTTAGCCTTTTTCTCTGTCACTGGCAAATATTTTAACTTTTATGGAGCTGTGTCATTTATAAAATCAGACTAATTATGTATAGTACATCAAAATGGGAAAAATATTAATTTACATATATTAATTTAGTATAAAGCAAGATGTACAGTGCCACTCCTTCCTTATACTTGACCTATTCTTTTACTTCCAGGGGACAAGAGTCAGTGAAATATACATATAATATTCTCTATAAGCAAAACTCGTTCGAGAAAAAAAATGTCTAAATCCAGCACTCTAGAATGTTTGACAGTCATCCAAGCAACTTCTTTCAGCCTCCGTTTTCTGATCTCTAAAATAGTATAATAATTTTAACCTAACGAGTTGTTTGTATATCTCAAATATATACAACTGCTGTCAGTTGCATTGTTTAAATTGCGGACAGAGTGAAGTTACAATTACTGAAATCAAAGAAGTGATAAATATATGACAATGTATTAATGTTACAGGGTAAAAAAAAATCAATTTCTAAGATGTGTTGGTTAGACATATGCCTCCCTCCAGACAACTGGTCCAGACATTGTAAATCTATCTTTGTATATGCAGTGGGCTTGTGTGTAGCCTCACAGCACTTTTCCTGCAGAAATATCCAATGCTACAAGATACACTAATTACCCCTAATAAACGAAGCAATTCAACAAACATTCTTCTTGTTTCAAATAGACAATGGTGGTACTTTACACAAGTTGTCATTTCAAACTACATTGCAACCATGTTGTAAAGTTTCTGGGTAATATGTTCATTTGGGGGCAAACTTTGTTAGAAAACTTTGTTGGCCAACATTTGGTTACATTAATTCTTAGAAACATTACCAATTAAAGGAATATTGTCTTCATAATGTTATCATAGTCTGAACTTAGCCGCTTGCTTCATGGTTTTGGCAATTCACAGTTATTGCTGGGATTAAATAGTTTACATTGATAACAGCATGGAAATAAAGTTTGGAATTCTTTGTGGGGGATAATAGGGTGCCTGACTATCATTGACAATCGCTTGTCACCCATGTATATCAGTGATGATGACATCACCATAGAGTCTAAAAACATACAAGGTGAATATTGTATTATGTGGTTGAGAGTTTAGTGATAAAGCATGCCAAAAAGGAAAAAAAGTAAGAGGAGAAAAATAAGTTTACAAGAAAACACTATTCAAGCTCCATCATAAAGTAACACAGACCGATTGTCTCAATGTCCAGATTAGCTTGGAACACATTCCTACTATACTGAAATATGATTCATAAATTTGTCCATTCATTCAAAAATACTTCAGTAACAACTGTTCTTTTTCAGATTCTCTTCTGAGGGATAAGGATGTTCATCCTGTTTTATTTAACACTTGGTTTGCAAAATTCCTATAGTGTGCCAGCTATTGTTCAAATTACTAAGATATGTTTTTTTTAAAAGATACAGTTTAGTTTGTGAAAACATTTCATGGGAAAAAATAGTGAATGAACAACTATATTAATATTTTGTTAGAGTTGAGTCCAAGGTGTCCAGGCACTAGCAAAGCACACAGGAGAACAGTAAAGTTATATCAAGGACGGAAGATGAAGGTAGAATTCATCATCAATAGAGACTTCTTGAAGAGTTTCATGAATGCTCATATGTCTCTAGCATGGCCCAAACTTTATGCTTATTAACTTAGTTCTCTCTAAAACAGCATAACAGAGGCTGCTAAGTGCAATGCTATTTTATAACTTGCACAAGGAACTTGAGAATTTTTTGAAGTTATATAGCTGGAAAAGGTTGTTTAGGAGCAAAGGTGGAATACTCCTAATGGTGAGACCTTAATGAAGGCTTCAAAATAAAAACTAAAATAAAATTAGCGGAGGCTACTGCAGAGAATGCAAACAACTTGACAATTTGGGAGGACTCTAGATAGCATGGAGTGGAGGTGGGATATGTCTGTCCATAGGTTACACCTCACAATCAAGGGCAGGAAGGCAACAGGTAAACTGAGAAAGACTAGAGAAGTGGCATTCTTTTTCCTTCAAAGCAATAATTAGGCCTCATTATCAATGTATAATCATAATGGTAATATTTCATTTTAGAAAGATTAACCCAATAATTACTAATAATTGTAGGAAGAAATGTACTGGACAGTTGAAAATCCTGAAAGCAGGATACTGATAGATGTTTGTGTCATTATTTATTTATTTATTTATATTGGTTAAGGGGATTGAACCCAGGGCCTGG